CTGCTTCCTGTTCATCAGCTTCCACGAGTCAGGAGAAGCCTGCCTTGAGCTGGCCCAGACTCACCTATTTCTACAATTGCATAAGCGTTCTTGATAGAAATCTCTTTCTAGCTACAAACACATTCAAGCATCGGTGGTTCTGCCTCCCTTGAGAACCCAACCTAATGCGAGGATGGACACACTCAGCAAGTGCTTTCCCTGCGCTACACATGCTCTGCCTTGCTTGGGGCAAGCCAGGAGGGCTAGCAGTACTAACGGATGAAGATTGGAATGGCAGCCTTCAGGATGGATCACAGCTCAACAGGAGGAAAACCAACATTCCTCACAACTGGGCCAGTAAGCAGCTTCTTGATAAAAGGGAGAAAAGACAAAAGTTGCCAAAGATTTCATTGGACTGGGATGCACACCCAAGCTCTGTGGAAGCAGCAGCCAAGAATCAAACAGCAGCGGGCCTTGGGGGCCTCTGCTGCACACGGCCTCGGAGGACGAAGGTGCAGGCACCTGACCCAATCCTTGGTACTTCTGACCACTTCACATGCATGTGGAAGGTGGCTCATGACAAAAAGAAGATGCAGTGGAATGGATGCATTTAAATTACAGTGTTGCGAGAAAACATCGCATTATCCTATGCCAGAGGAATGACCAAATGCACCGCAGAGGACATATAGCCAGAACGCTCCATAGAAGAAAAGATGGGGAGCTTCCGTCTCATGTGCTTTGGGCATGTTATCAGGAGAGACCCGTCCCCTGAAAAAAAAAACCATGCTTGGCAAAGAGGAGGAAGCGCCCGTAGGAGTGGATGGACACGGTGGCTGCAGAGGAAGGGCGGCAAGGCTGGTGCAGGGCCAAACGGCGTTTCCTCTGGTCGTATGCCGGGTCCGGGTCGCTGCAAGTCGGAACCAGCTCGACAGCAGCCCCCACCACCACATCCTGCTGCACAATCCTGTCTCACCCTCACAGCCCTGTGAGGAAGGCACTGTGCCGGTCAGCGTGTTGTACTTGGCCGCCGGCATGGGGCATGGTGCTGGCAACTTGGCCGCCAGGGTCTCAGAAGCCAGCAGGGGCACCGTGGTTGGCAGATTTCAGGGGGGCTTCAAGGCCTGATGCTCTTCTTCCCCAGATCACCCAGGGAGAACCCTGCAGCTCGGAAGGGAACACCGTGAGCCGATGAGGCCTGCCCCTAAGTCGGCAGGCTCAAACCACAGGGGCCACAGCAAAGGCCCCGAATGCACGAACGGCCAGGAAGATGAAGCAGGAAGGGGCCACGTTTTGTTTTGTTGTCCACGGGGTTCCCGAGAGTTAGAAGTGGCTTGAGGACATGTAGCGACAACCCAACAGATAAGGAAACGGAGGCCCAGTCAGGCTAAGCCATGTGCTCACGTTCACCAGCCAGCCCCGCCCCGCCCCCGTGCTGGTGCCGACCCTGGGCAGCTAGGCCATTGCACTCTGGGAGGAGACAAGACGGACTGCAGGCTGACCGGTTACTAAATTACTAGCATAGCTGTTCTAGTTCTTGGCTCCTCTCAGTGTGACCAGACCTCTGGCCTCTCGGATTTCTAAAGACTCAGTGGAGCAGAGCGAAGAGAGAGAGGTACAGCTGCCACCTCTAGCCTCCAGACTCCCCACTCACTCGTCAGCAAGCACTCCCCAAGCACACATGCCGCCCCAGCTTCAGCTCCTGCGGGGCTGGCTGGGGTATGTGCTGCTGTGAGCTGCCATCATTTATTTTCAATGACACCCCACCACCCCCACCCTGCCCCGGGGCTGCACTAGGGTAAGGGAGTGTGTGCTCTCTGCATCCTTTCATTTGTCTAACCAATATTTATCGGCCCCTACTACTGCTATTTGCTAGAACCGCAATCAGGAGTCTGGCTGCTCACTCAAATCTGGACCCACTTGAAAACAAATTCCAAGACAAGTTGAGCCACCAGACCCAAGACCTTAGCAGCTGGAAATTCCTCAGGGCTACTGCTGGCAGGGCAGGGGGTCAGTCCCATTCCAGGTCAGTGATGGCCTGATCTGCCTAAGCCTACCTCCCACCTCCACAGGAGGGTCGGGGCGAGAGCAGCAGGAAGCTGTGTTCTGGAATAGGGGCTAGCTCACCTCCAGGAGCTGCGCAGCACTGGGCCGGGTGTCCGGGTTCTTATCCAGGGCCACCTTCAGGAAGTCTCGGAACGCGGCTGACCTGGAAGACAGGTGCGGGCAATGAGCTGGGAGCAGGATGTGGGCTGGGGAGCCCTGGGGAACCACCCCCCCTTACCACTTTGCAGATTCCACTCGCCTTCATCCCAAACCTGCCCACCCCCAAGGGCAAAGCAGACCGAGGTGGTAGGCCTTCAGGGAGACAGCAACGGGCACAGGCAGGGACCTTGGCAAGTGTCACCCACTGAATCATAGCACCCTGGATTCTGGCCCAGGGTCTGCTCCTGTTCCTGAGGGCGACTAGCTTATTGGGGCTCCTGGTTTGCTTCCAGGGGGATCCCAGTAGGAAATGCGGTGGAAGAAAGAGGCTCGGGGACTCCAGTGAATGGGAAAGGCCTGGAGTCTGTGCCCTGCGCCTCCGACTACTCTGCTACGTTGAGGCCTAGACTCCAGTGTCCCCAGTTCCACCCGAGCCCACCTGGACCTTCAGACCCACCGGACCTTCTAGCACAGGGGTGGGCAAACTGAGCCATGTGGGGGGGGGGGGTCTTCCGGCACATACATGCGGCTCTGATGTAGAATGGAAACCTTGTAAAGGACATCAGTCAGCTAATGGCGGTCTCCTTTGTGAAAACATAATTATGGCTATCAAATAGTTTTTAAATTGTGAGAGACAGGATTGGCTCTTCCACCTCAAACGTGTGTCAGCCCCTGTTCTAGTTCCAGCTTGGCCTGCTGACTTGTGCCCGCACCCCCCCCAACTGCATGTCCTGACCCTGCCCGCCCCGCCACCACCACCCCAGCCATCCCACAGCCTCACCACTTGGCGGGGGCGAGCAGCGTGGGCGGGTCAGACTTGGCGATCTTGAGCAGGACCCGCATGGGGTTGAGCTCGTGGTGCGGGGGCTCCACCTGCGCCATCTCAATCAACGTGATGCCCAAGGACCAGATGTCGGCTTTGTAGTCGTAAGGGGTGTCCTTCATGGTCTCACACATCACCACCTCGGGGGCCATCCTGAACCAACCAAGGGACAACACAGGCTCAGCATCTGGCCTTCCCAGACGCCTCTTGGAGATTCAAGGCCAAGAACCACCGCCAGCCAAAGCCAGGGTGTTGGAGGCATTCCTGAGTCATCCTTTGCATTACTTTACATCCCACTGTCTTCCTCACAGGCTTCCAGGCACCCAGAAAAATGCCTTCCTTCCAAGCGGCTCCACCTCCGTGTCCTCTCCTGCAGTTCCCGATGCCTACCACAAGGTGGCGGAAGCAATCCAGAACAGAGTCCTGAGCAAAGGGGTTGGGGTGAGACAGGAAGAGGAAGAAAAATGGGGGGCAAGGAAGGTTGGAGGGAATACAGTGAAATAGACAGAAAGGATGAGAGAGAAAAGGAAAATGAGGTATAAAAGGGTAGAGAGAGAGAGAAAGGATGAGTAATAAGCCAGAAACCCAAACTCACTCTCATCGAGTTGATTCTCAACTCTACAGCGACCCTACAGGACAGAGTAGAACTGCCCTTTTGGGTTCCCGAGACTGTCGATCTTTACAGGAGTAGACAGCTCCATCTTTCTCCCTTGGAGCGGCTGGTGAGCTTGAACCACTGACCTGGTGGCTAGCAGCTACACCACCAGGACTCCTTTAAGCAAGAAAGGAGCCTAAGATGGACTACACTGGGGAAAAATGGAAGTCACCCCCCCCCTCCCAAAACTCTGCAAACAGAACAAAACAGAAAGTAGTTAGGCGCGAAGTTGAGTAAGAGAGTTGTTATTAAACGTACTATTATTGGAAAGGAAAAGGAGAGAAAACATGAATCAGAGACGTCCAGGGAGACTTCAGTCAGGGTAAAAATTGAGCTTGTGTTGTTCAACTGCATACCCTTCCTCCCTAGTGCAGTGCCTGGCACTCAATCAATACCTGAGCAATCAATCAAGAACGGACCCCTGTTCCAAGGGATCCCAGGCTGGTTATTAAGAACGAAGCATGTCCTACCTGCGTCCCCTCATTTAACCCCACTGAGCAGGTGCTGCTCTCTCCCAGGGGCAGCTGAGCAAACCGAGACCCAGAGGAGTGAAGCAGCATGGCTTTGGTGGAACCACTAGTAAGTGGTGGAGGCTGACCTCTGACCTGCTGGTGGTCCCTGGGGGACTGTTAGGTCTGAAGTTTGCTCCAGTGTTCGGTGTCCGGAAGCAACGCAACTCACCAGTAAGGTGTTCCGATGAAGGAGTCTCGTTTCTGCAGAGTTTTCAGGTTCTTGGCAGATACACCAAAGTCAGCTGCAAGGCAAAACCTCGGTGTCAGGCTCGATGGACCTTCCTGCACCCACAGCCCTCGGTGACAAGCCCTGCAGGCGACCCTGGCACACACAGCCGGAGCCAACCATCAGATGCCACTCCTATCTAAGAAAAGTAGTCTTCACAAATATGTAATATCTACACATAAAGTTAAAGGAAAAACAAAATATAAACCCTATTTCTCAACATAGCCCCATCAAGTTCAAAATGCCTTTTTTAAAAAAGATCATTTTATTGGGCCCTTACAACTCTTAGAACAATCCACACATCAATTGTATCAAGCACATTTGTACATATGTTGCCCTCATCATTCTCAAAACATTTTCTTTCTACTTGAGCCCTTGGTAT